TTCTAAAATGGATTAAATAGTTGTTTTCTCCCCTCATCAATCTACACACAATATCCCATAATACCCCATAGTAAAAACTGATATAGCACATTTACGTAAGTTTTCAGACCTTTTACTCAGTACTTTATTGAAGCATCTTTGGCAGCGATTACAGCCTGGAGTCTTCTTGGGTATGACGCTACAAGCTTGGCACACCTGTATTTGGGGAGTTTCTCCCATTCTTCTTTGCAGATCCTCTCAAGCTCTGTCAGGTTGGATGGGGAGCGTTGCTGGACAGCTATTTTCAGGTCTCTCCAGAGATGTTCGATCGGGTTCAAGTATGGGCTCTTGCTGGGCCACTCAAGGATATTCAGAGACTTGCCCCGAAGCCACTCCTGCGTTGTCTTGGCTGTGTGCTTAGGGTTGTTGTCCTATGGAAGGTGAACCTTCGCCCCAGTCTGAGGTCCTGAGCACTCTGGAGCAGGTTTTCATCAAGGATCTCTCTGTACTTTGCTCCGTTCATCTTTGCCTCGATCCTGACTAGTCTCCCAGTCCCTGCCGCTGAAAAACATCCCCACAGCATGATGCTGCCACCACCATAGGGATGGTGCCAGGTTTCCTCCAGACGTGATGCTTGGCATTCAGGCCAAAGAGTTCAATCTTGGTTTCATCAGACCAGAGAATCTTGTTTCTCATGGTCTGAGAGTCCTTTAGGTGCCTTTTTGGCAAACTCCTAGCGGGCTGTCATGTGCCTTTAACTGAAGAGTGGCTTCCGTCTGGCCACTCTACCATAAAGGCCTAATTGGTGGAGTGCTGCAGAGATGGTTGTCCTTCTGGAAGGTTCTCCCATCTCCACAGAGCAACTCTAGAGCTCCGTCAAAGTGACCATCGGGTTCTTGGTCACCTCCCTGACCAAGGCCCTCCTCCCCCAATTGCTCAGTTTGGCCGGGATGGCAGCTCTAGGAAGAGTCTTGGTGGTTCCAAACTTCTTCCAATTATGAATGATGTAGGCCACTGTGTTCTTGGCGACTTTCAATGCTTCAGAAATGTTTTGGTACACTTCCCCAGATCTGTGCCTTGACACGATCCTGTCTCGGAGCTCTACGGACAATTCCTTCGACCTCATGGTTTGGTTTTTCCTCTGACATGCACTGTCAACTGTGGGACCTTTATATAGACAGGTGTGTGCCTTTCCAAATCATGTCCAATCAATTGAATTTACTACAGGTGGACTCCATTCCAGTTTTAGAAACATCTCAAGGATGATCAATGGAAGTGGCTCAATTTCGAGTCTCATAGCAAAGGGTCTGAATACTTATGTAAATAAGGTATTTCTGTTTTTTTTTTTTATACATTAGCAAAAATGTATAACCTGTTTTTGTTTTGTCATTATGGGATAGTGTATGTAGATTGATTAAATTGTTTTTGTTAATTAATTTTAGAATAAGGATATAACGTTACAAAATGTGGAAATGGTCGGGTCTGAATACTTTCCGAAGGCACTGCATGTATGTATGTATGTATGTATGTATGCATGCATGCATGCATGCATGTATGTGGACACCACCTCAAATTAGTGGATTCGGCTATTTCAGCCACACCGTTGCTGACGGGTGTATAAAATCGAGCACACAGGCATTCAATCTCCATAGACAAACATTGGCAGTAGGATGGACTTACTGAAGAGCTCAGTGACTTTCAACGTGGCAGCGTCATAGGATGCCACCTTTCCAACAAGTCAGTTCATCACATTTCTGCCCTGCTAGAGCTGCCCCATTCAACTAAGTGCTGTAAGTGGAAACGTCTAGGAGCAACAACGGCTCAGCCGCAAAATGGTAGGCCACACAAGCTCACAGAAAGGGACCGCCGAGTTTTGAAGCGCGTAGCGAGTAAAAATTGTCAGTCCTCGGTTGCAACACTCACTACCGAGTTCCAAACTGCCTCTAGAAGCAACGTCAGCACAAGAATTGTTCGTCGGGAGCTACGTGAAATGGGTTTCTATGACCAAGCAGCTGCACACAAGCTTAAGCTCACCATGCGCAATGCCAAGAGGCGGCTGGAGTGGTGTAAAGCTCGCCACCATTGGACTCTGGAGCAGTGGAAACGTGTTTTCTGGAGTGATGAATCACGCTTCACAATCTGGCAGTCCCACGAAAGAATGCTACGTGCCCCAATGCATAGTGCCAACTGTAAAGATTGGTAGAGGAGGAATAATGTTCTGGGGCTGTTTGTTAATTGTTCAGGTTAGGCCCCTTAATTCCAGTGAAGGGAAATCTTTAACGGTACAGCTTACAATTACATTCTAGACGATTCTGTGCTTCCAACTTGGGGATGGCAGTTTAGGGAAGGCCCTTTCCTTTTTCAGCACGACAATGCCCCCATGCACAAAGCGAGGTCCATACAGAAATGTTTTGTCGATCGGTGTGGAATAACTTTTCTGGCCTGCACAGAGCCCTGACCTCAACCCCATCAAACACATTTGGAATACCGTCTGCGAGCCAGGCCTAATCGCCCGACCTCACCAATGCTCTTGTGGCTGAATGGAAGCAAGTCCCCACAGGAATGTTCAAACATCTAGTGGAACGCCTTCCCAGAAGAGTGGAGGCTGTTATAGCAGCAAAGGGGGGACCAACTCCATATTAATACCCATGAGTTTGGAATGAGTAGCTAGTTATATCCCCATAGCCATGTAGTCATCCCCTGATGACTACATGGTAGGGATACTTGACATTTGAGAAATATACCTGACCCATATACATTGGGTGCGTAACCTGATTAGAGTGTCCACCCACGTGCTCAGACTGACAGAAATCACATTTAGAATATGGTCATTAATTCATATTAACAGAACATGCAAGTCGATGATGCAACGATTTGTGGTCCTTCTTACAGAATTCTGATGTGCACTTTGAACATGTTAGAATAACTGTCCACATCTACTTTTCCTCAGCCAACAAGACAAGTAACGAATAGCAAAATTACTAGCCTATGTCAATCTATAGTAGAAAAGTTTAGGCTACCTATTCTATTGGTCAGATTGTTGAGAAACAAATAGCCTATTCCAAACAGACACTGGGACAGTTGTGGGACGATAGATCCCAAATTCATACAACCTGGAGGCTACAGTACATTAAGTAAAAACCTTAAAAAGCAATGAGTCTGATGCAACAGATCAGAACGTTTAGCTTGTTGAACTATTATTTTTTCACATTTTATAAGCGCAGCAATGCGCAGAAAGCAGTAGGCTACGCACAAATGTTTGTTCCATAATGCTATTAGTGGTAAAACACTTGTCAAAAAGGCACTGCACATGCAAGCAGTTTCATGTGACAGAGATTAAAATATTATATTTAATTGTTTTTTAAAGAGAGGAGATCTAATAGGCTACTTTGAAGCAAGGTAATACATGCATCATATGTATTAAAACATTCAGGTTTCAAACAATTAAGTATATGTTTTCAAAATGTGTACTGCCTCCAGCTTATTGCAAAGTGGTGTGTGACGTGCTGATGAAGCCTGCCTTCCATTTCCGTTTGATGCGTTCGAAACAACTGGGAACTCAGAAATCTCTGACTTCCGACTTCAGTGCATTCAAGACAACTGGGAAAAAAACGAGCACCGACTGGGAAAAATCTTTTTGAACGGTCATCCAACTCGCAATTCCAACTCAGGAACTCTGGACTCATTTTAGAGCTCCGACTTTCCGACCTGCAGATCACTGACGTCATGATTTTACCTTGTATTTTTCAGAGTTCCCAGTTGTCTTGAAAGCCCCACAAGATGCTGCAGCATCAGCTCTTGCACTGTCTCACAGGTTTTCCATTCAAATGTCTTGATCATACCTACAGCGTCATTGCGCAAAATGGTACGCAGCATCATCTGGATATGTGTGCAACAAAAGTTCAACATTCACCTTCTGCTACCATTTCTGTCAAGCTGTCTACGCATACAATTTCATGCATACGGTTGATAAATCCAACGTATGAACCACACAGAACGCACTGCAACTGCCTCTGCAATGCAATGGTGCAAGGCAAATGCAGCGTTCCATTGGAAATGAATGTACTTCTGGTGTACCAAAACGCAATGACGCTGTCGGTGTGATCGAGGTAAAAGGCTCTGTATCTGTATGCTGTACTCGTGTGATAAATAAGATACATAACGACTATAATGTACACGTGTCAATTTAATTCCACTAAATTATGCAAATTAACCTGTAGACCAATAAGCATGACCAGTCAAATGTATTTACATGAACTGTTATTTCCATCAATGAATAGGCTAAAAAGCATTTTCACAATGAGATTATTTCTTCTTATCCTGGACAATTGACCGACGCCAATTTTATTTATTGGCTTTTCTATTTTTTTGGGGGGGGGACAAAACCTGGCTATTACCGGCTAACGGAAAGAAATGCTGCTACGTGGCTATATCTCATTAGGTGTCTGTTTATCTGTGATATGATTCTAATAAAATATTAAGCCTTCTGGCTGTTGATTGCCAGAAATAATGTAACATTATAGCCTAAACCTTATGATAATAGCTTATAAAAAATGACTGTGGTGGTCAGCTTGGTAACTAAATGTTCCTGGTCTAGCTGGTTTGTGACTTTGCTACTTACAGGCATACATGATCATATTATTTCACTTATGGACTATCAGATATGCAATTATATGACATTTTTTCTCAAATGTTATTGTGAAAACCTTTGGATAATAAAATGTAACTTTGTCACCTTGCAATTGATAACTTGTACATACACTAATCATTTTCATTCATGATTCCCGTTTTTATGTACTGAAGTTTATTCTGAATATAACTTTTTATCAATTTTAGGCTATTCTTTGGAGGGGTTGTCACTGATTTTTACAGTTGAAATGCACATTTTCCTTATTTATCTTTGTTTGAGTTTTAGAAATGGACAGAGGAGACCATTACTAGCGGATAATGCAGTCCCTGTCTATGAGGAGGACACTGATGGCAAATGAGCTGCGGAAGGCCTGTAGGATGACAATGAAGATATGGCCGCCTTAGAGGAAGATGTCCTTGACGCTGTGCTACTCGGAGAAGAGGAGGAGGAAGAGAATGAGATCAAGGAGCCAGAGGAAGTTGAGGAGCCATCACCTGAGGCCTCTCAGCCAAGCTCTTCAATTGTCAGGCCGTATCTATCTAAAGGGCCATCTTTTAAAATGAATATATTATTGAGCATACTAACAATTATCTATTTTCTGTTCGTGCTCCACGTCCCCGTAAGCGTAAACGCTCTGTCTTGCCCGATAGCACGTTTCAGTCCTATGATGATGTTGATACACAGGCACTGGAATCCATCCCTTTCAGGCATGAACATCCAGTTTAAGTCTTGGCAGTGTACGTCAGGCAGTTCGGTCGACCGCTCTGGAAAGACTTCTTGTTGTTTTTCAGGCAGGCATTGGTGGTAGAGGTTTGTGGGTACCCTTATAGTCAGGGTTGGGGTCTTGTTTTGGAGTGCCCGTTGTATGGTGATTCCGTCAAAGCGTGGCTTGAGGTTACACCTACAGAATTCTACTGGTTTCTTGGACTGCTCATTTACATGGGATTTACCGAACTGCCTGACCTTCATCGGTACTGGGGTGCAAAGTCTCTTCAGAGTTCTTGGGCTAGAGCTTTTATGTCGCGTAATCGCTTCAAAGCTCTGTTGGCTGCTTTACACGTTGTGGATCCTGCCACTGAGGATAATGCAGATAGGCTTAGAAAACTGCGGTACTTACTGGACCACCTGAAACAAACAAAGCTGTATCAGCCAAACCAAAATGTAGACATGGATAAGCCCATGGTCAAATCAAAGGGGCGATCAGGATTCACGCAGTATATAAAAGGGAGGCTACCTAGGTGGGGATTTAAATGAAGGCGAATTGCTTCATCTGACACAGGCTACACTTTAGATCTAAATGTTTACATATGGGGATATGTGTTGTCGTAGGATAGGGGGCAATGTATTGGCAATACAGTGGAGAGACACACACGTACTGTTACTTGCCTTTCCAATTTTCACAATGCAAATGATTCCACTCAAGTAACGAGGCTAGTCCGACAGGATGGTATTTGGAATAGGAAAGTGGTCGCCAGTCTGTTGTAATCCACGATTACAATAGACAGGTGGGGGGGGGGGGGGGGGGGGGATCAACTCCTCCAATGTTTTGCAGAACACCCAGAAGTGGTGGAAAACACTTTTATTCCCCACTGTGTTGACATTGCAATTGTCAACAGTTACCTTTTGTTACGGGAATGGCAGTGTAATCATGCAGCACCTGGCAAGGAAAATGGGCAAACTGGTTACTGCCAGATTACATTGAGAGAACCTTTCTCATCAGTTAGGAGGTTTTGATGTTAATGACAGGTATCTTTTGACAGACCTTTGTCTGTGAAAACTGTAAGCTCATCTTTTCACACACAGCACATGCCCAGTCTACAGGTCCCCTCTAGACATTGTTGGCTGTGTTTCCTGTGTTACAGGAAAGATAAAGGAGAACAGGACTCGGTTTGTTTGTGTGGCACCTGAATGCGAGGGCATATGATCTTGCATCGTAGAGGACCGACATTGTTTTAGGTTGTGGCACTCCAGTGAGTGTGACTCATAGCAGAAATAGGCACTAGTAAAGGGTAGATGTAGCTCAGATGTTCACTAGTAATTTTGCCTCTCTTCAATGTTTCCCTTTCCTGCATGTACCCCTTCTCCTGCATGTCCCCTCTCCCTTGCATGTTTTCCCTTTCTTATCCAATACATCCTGCATGCCAGCCTCCCTTCATGTTTCATTCATGATTCTAATGGCCTTGGTGATGTAAAGGACTTGTAAATTGTAATGACTGTAAACTAATGTTGTACTTTTGGAATTGTTCCTGTACTGACTATTTGTGTAATAGACTATATGCTAGTTGAATGTAGACATTTAAGTTGTAAAAGCTAATGATTGTTATATGCCTTATTTGTTTCATATTTTGTAATTCCAGTTCAATTTTGATGAAAGTAGCCCTGAAATGAATGTTGTAAAATGTTATGGTTATGATAGCAATTTAAATGGCTTCATTTTCAGGTTTGAAGGAGTCAATGTATTCCCATAAGGTTATTCTTTCAATAAAGTTATTGTTTTATTAATATTATATCACTTGTTTGTCTTTACTTATCATATGTAAGACTAAATGCTATTTGTAATTTGTTTTGGTGCAGATATGTGTTTAATATACTATCCAGAAAAGAAAGTGTCTGATCACAGAACATTCCATAGAATTTGAGAAAAATACCATAGGTCACTAAAATGTCTGTAACTCATTCACAGTAAAATGTATTTCTATTCTGATTTCAGATGATCAACCCTTACAAAATAAGGAAGGCTCAATATGCGGCAAGTTTTTCTCTATCGTCATGAGAAAGTTTTGTAAATGGCAGTAGTTTTGGAGAAAGCATTGATTTTCGTGTAAGATACACATTTTCACAGGCGTTTTTTCTTGACTGATTACAGTTTGATTGATGTGGTGCTATTGTATGTCATAACATTTGAAAGAGCTGTTTTTCAGCTTTAAAAATGTGTAACATGTTTTCATATGTTTGACACCAGCAAATTATTCTCATTTATGCACACCGAGGTCATGGTCCAGTAAAAAATAGAACATTCCGCTGGGAAGGAAAGGGTTTTAATCTGCTATATGACAAGTTAAACAGTGGGGGATTAGGATTTCAGACAAAAACTAATTGCCCACCCTAATCGGATAGTGGTAGATTCACAGTCTGCCCTATTGCTCAGCTCACACACTACATCATTCTCTCTCACTCTCTCAATGGCATCGATTCGCTCCACTGATCAAATCGAATCGCACCGAATTGTTTCAAATGAAAAGTATTGTTCTTGTATTGCAGCCCATGTATCTAGATGCGTATCGAATCGTGCTTGTAAGGAGAGATGCACATCCCTAGTTGCTGTCATGGAGTTTTATATGCAATGTCACAATTTCATGACTAATGCTGTGAACACTGCTTTGCAGGTTCAGGTATTTGGGAGTTTCAGCACAGGTCTCTATCTACCTACCAGGTAAGCTGTCCTTGCATTTCAAGTCATTTCCTTACTGAAAAGTGTTCATAACCGTTATATTCCACCTTGGCATGAGTTTGTGATAATAATGTGATTCTTTGTGTTGGTGTTGCAGTGACATTGACCTGGTGGTGTTTGGGAAGTTCAGGGAAGGAGACAGCCTCCCTTTGTGGAGGTTAGAAGAGGCCCTGAGGAAACACAAAGTGGTGGAGGAGAATTCTGTCAAAGTGCTGGACAAGGCCACGGTTAGTGTAGTGTGTGTTTTGTGTCCTGTCTGTCTGTGGAGGGAAGCCTGTTAAGTGTGTGTGTTGTGAACATGTCAAATCTGATCTCTCGTCTTCAGGTGCCAATCATCAAACTGACAGACTCTCTCACGGATGTCAAAGTTGACATCAGTTTCAACATGAAGAATGCTGTCAAAGCTGCTGCCCTCATCAAAGATTATAAAAAGGTACAATGCTCCCTGTGTATGTGTGTGCTTGCGCGCACATACGTGTGTACGTACGTATTTACGCTCATATCTGAATTCGGTCACAATCCTCCTGGTTTGAACTACTGTTCTAAAGTTCTCTCTCCGTCTCTCTCTCCTCAGAAATATCCTGTGCTTCCATACCTGGTGCTAGTCCTGAAACAGTTCTTATTACAAAGAGACATGAATGAAGTGTTTACAGGAGGCATCAGCTCCTACTGCCTCTTCCTCATCGCTGTCAGCTTCTTACAGGTGGGTGGGTGGCCTTCATCTCTATACTGTACATAAGTATTCAGACCCTTTGCTATGAGACTTGAAATTGAGCTCAGGTGCATCCTGTTTCCATTTATGTTTCTACAACTTGATTGGAGTCCACCTGTGGTAAATTCAATTGATTGGACATGATTTGGAATGGCACACACCTGTCTATATAAGGTCCCACAGTTGACAGTGCATGTCAGAGCAAAAACCAAGCCATGAGGTCGAAGGAATTGTCTGTAGAGCTCTGAGACAGGATTGTGTCGAGGCACAGATCTGGGGAAGGGTACCAAAACATTTCTGCAGCATTGAAGGTCCCCAAGAACACAGTGGCCTCCATCATTCTTAATTGGAAGAAGTTTGGAACCACCAAGACTCTTCCTAGAGCTGGCCGCCCGGCCAAACTTTGCAATCGGGGGAGAAGGGCCTTGGTCAGGGTGGTGACCAAGAACCCGATGGTCACTCTGACAGAGCTCCAGAGTTCCTCTGTGGAGATGGGAGAACCTTCCAGAAGGACAATCATCTCTGCAGCACTTCACCAATCAGGCCTTTATGGTAGAGTGGCCAGATGGAGCCACTCCTCAGTAAAAGGCACATGACAGCCTGCTTGGAGTTTGCCAAAAGGCACCTAAAGGACTCTCAGACCATGAGAAACAAGATTCTCTGGTCTGATGAAACCAAGATTGAACTCTTTGGCCTGAATGCCAAGCGTCACGTCTGGAGGAAACCTGGCACCATCCCTACGCTGAAGCATGGTGGTTGCAGCATCATGATGTGGGGATGTTTTTCAGTTGCAGGGACTGGGAGACTAGTCAGAATCGAGGGAAAGATGAACGGAGCAAAGTACAGAGAGGTCCTTGATGAAAACCTGCTCCAGAGTGCTCAGGACCTCAGACTGGGGCGAAGGTTCACCTTCCAACAGGACAACGACCCTAAGCACACAGCCAAGACAATGCAGGAGTGGTTCAGGACAAGTCTCTGAATATCCTTGAGTGGCCCAGCCAGAGCCCGGACTTGAACCCGATTTAACATCTCTGGAGAGACCTGAAAATAGCTGTGCAGCGATGCTCCCCATCCAACCTGACAGAGCTTGAGAGGATCTGCAGACAAGAATGGGAGAAACTCCCCAAATACAAGTGTGCCAAGCTTGTAGCGTCATACCCAAGAAGACGCGAGGCTGTAAACGCTGCCAAACGTGCTTCAACAAAGTACTGAGTAAACGGTCTGAATACTTACAGTTGAAGTTGGAAGTTTACATACACTTAGGTTGGTGTCATTAAAACTCGTTTTTCAACCACTCCACAAATTTCTTGTTAACGAACTATAGTTTTGGCAAGTCGGTTAGGACATCTACTTTGTGCATGACACAAGTAATTTTTCCAACAATTGATTACAGACAGATTATTTCACTTTATAATTCACTGTATCACAATTCCAGTGGGTCAGACTGTTCCTTTAAAGAGCTTGGACAATTCCAGAAAATGATGTCATGGCTATAGAAGCTTCTGATAGGCGAATTGACATAATTTTAGTCAATTGGAGGTGTACCTGTGGATGTATTTCAAGGCCTACCTTCAATCTCAGTGCCTCTTTGCTTGACATCATGGGAAAATCAGAAAAAAAATTGTAGACCTCCACAAGTCTGGATCATCCTTGGGAGCAATTTCCAAACGCCTGAAGGTACCACATTCATCTGTACAAACAATAGTATGCAAGTATAAACACCATGGGACCATGCAGCCGTCATATCGCTCAGGAAGGAGACGCGTTCTGTCTCCTAGAGATGAACGTACTTTGGTGCGAAAAATCTATCCCAGAACAACAGCAAAGGACCTTGTGAAAATGCTGGAGGGAAACCGGTACAAAAGTATCTATATCCACAGTAAAATGAGTCTTATATCGACATAACCTGAAAGGCCGTTCAGCAAGGAAGAAGCCACTGCTCCAAAGCTACCATAAAAAAGCCGGACTATGGTTTGCAACTGCACATGGAGAAATGTCCTCTGGTCTGATGAAACAAAAATAGAACTGTTTGGCCATAATGACCATTGTTATGTTTGGACTGGTGCACTTCACAAAATAGATGGCATCATGAGGAAGGAAAATTATGTGGATATATTGAAGCAACATCTCAAGACATCAGTCAGGAAGTTAAAGCTTGGTCGCAAATGGGTCTTCCAAATGGACAATGACCCCAAGCATACTTCCAAAGTTGTGGCAAAATGGCTTAAGGACAAAAAAGTCAAGGTATTGGAGTGGACATCACAAATCCCTGACCTCAATCCTATAGAAAATGTGTGGGCAGAACTGAAAAAGTATGTGCGAGCAAGGAGGCCTACAAACCTGACTCAGTTACACCAGCTCTGTCAGGAGGAATGGGCCAAAATTCACCCTACTTATTGTGGGAAGCTTGTGGAAGGCTACCCGAAACCTTTGACCCAAGTTAAACAATTTAAAGGCAATGCTACCAAATATTAAGTGTATGTAAACTTCTGTCCCACTGGGAATGTGATGAAATAAATACAATGTGAAATAAATCATTCTCTACTATTATTCTGACATTTCACATTCTTAAAATAAAGTGGTGATCCTAACTGACCTAAGACAGGGAATTTGTCAGGATTTGTGAAAAACTGAGTTAAAATGTATTTGTCTAAGGTGTATGTAAACTTCCGACTTCAACTGTATGTAAATGTGATATTTCCGTAGTTGTTTTTTTTTTGGGACAAAAATGTCTAATCCAGTTTTTGCTGTTTCATTAAGGGGTATTGTGTGTAGATTGATGAGGGGGAAAACACATTTTAATCCATTTTAGAATATGGCTGTAAGGAACTTTCCTAATGCACTGTATCATTATTATTATACTGCCAATCTAGTATTCTAGTGAAATGATTATATGAAGGATTTTCCCTGCCTTTTCTCAACCTTTGAGAGCAATGAGAAATTACTTCTGTACTATTGACTAAACTTTATTGATCCCCAGAGGGGAAATTGGGTTTGTCACCAGCAGCATAGTGTTCTTACTACTATGTGTTCTTAAGGTGGAAACAAGTAATATACTATATTGTGTGTGTGTTTCAGCTCCATAGCAGGGAGGACGCCTGCAGTCCCAACGCCAACACTGGCGTCCTGCTCATAGAGTTCTTTGAGCTGTACGGCCGCCATTTTAACTACCTGAAGACTGGGATCCGGATCAAAGACGGGGGCTGCTACCTCTCCAAAGACGAGGTCCAGAAGAGCATGCTGGATGGATACAGACCATCCCTGCTCTACATCGAGGATCCACTGCAGCCAGGTGAGCCCCGGCTCACACCCACCTTTAGTTTGTCTAAGATTGCTTACTGCAGCGTTTTCCGAACACGGTGCACGTTTTGGTTTCTGCCCTAACACTACATAGCTGATTCAAATTCATAAAAGCTTGATGATTAGTTGATTATTTGAATCAGCTGTGGAGTGCTAGGGCAAAAACCAAAACGTGCACCCCTTGGGTTCCCGAGGACCGAGTTTGGGAAACACTGGCTTACTGCATACAGTAGTCAAAATATGGTAGCTAGCTAGCTATATGATGTCTCTGAAAAGTACACATTCAATGAAGTGTCTTGTGCTTCAGAGTTCTGCCATATCTAAGACATCAGATGTAGTTGTTTTATAGAGATGTTTAAGAACTCTATGGTGGGCCAGATTCAATAAGCAGCTGCCAAGTTTAAGTTTGTACCTGACCATGAGCGTTTGGCGTATGTCCTTTGTTCCCTGTGTTGCCCAGGTAATGATGTGGGCCGTAGCTCGTACGGGGCCATGCAGGTGAAGCAGGTGTTTGACTATGCCTACATGGTGCTGAGCCACGCTGTGTCGCCCATCGCCAAGTACTACCCCAACAACCACAGCGAGAGGTATGGGGCAGGGCTGGGACACATGGGGAGGATTACAGTCACATAATCAGTAGTGATGGCAGAAAAAAAACGATAGCTTGTTCTCAAACTTCTTTTTAAATAGTGAGTTTATTTTTTTTGGTGAGGGTTTCAAATCACAGACAGGCAATCATCTTCAAAAAGTACATAGATCCACCGTCCCACCACCCCCTCCCAGCGACCAGAGAAAAACTCTCCCCATACCACCCCTTCCATGTGGGCCTGAAAGTACAAAATATGAAAATAGGTATAAAAAGTGCATTCAGATAGTAATCACGCATGCGCGTACCGATAGGATGCGTGGGGAGTGAGTTGCTCCGTTTTGTACCGATAAAACTGTGGTTATATGTAGAAGCCAGACAACAGATTTTAAATTAAGCCTCTAAAATGGATAGATCAATATATACCCAAGCAACTGGGAGTGAGTGAGTGGTCAGTTATGTACAACAGCGGACCAATCAGTTGGTAAAGCGACGTGGCGACACGAACCCAACAAGCCATGGCTTCCCTCAGAGGAAACGACAAGGAACAACTTGGAGACGCAAATGAGAGTAATGAACAGCTAAAGGATATCCAGGAAAACATAGCTAAAATGCTCTCAATGCTCATCAAAACAAACTGTTACAATCTGTTGTTAAAAAAGTAGATTTCTTCAAAAGGAAAGTAGTCTATCATGTCAGACATGCACATAAAAGGTGTGCGCATGAACGAAGAAGACAAATTAACCTTCTAGAAACAAGGTTGCGAACTTAAGAATGTGAACTGGAACAGCAAGAAAACAGAATGAGATGAAACAACATGAGAATATTGTCCTTACCGGAAGACAAGAAAAAATTAAACCTTTCCAGCTATGTGATCAAACTGATATCAGAGGAGCTTGGCGTAGATATATCACCAGAGGATCTGGAACGATGCCATCGGATCAGAGTGAAACAGAAGAATGCTAAATACCCTTGCATGATCATCTTCAAGCTGTGGAACTATCAGACCAAAGTCAACATTCTGAAGGCACAGGGGGGAAAAGAGATCAAAATCCACGGCCAGTCCATTGGATTCGTCCGGGACCTGTCTGCTAAGCTGAGAAAAAAACACAAGCAATACATTCCCATCAGACAATCACTGGATGAAAAAGGAATCAAGTCTCAACTCCGCTTACCGGCAGTGCTGTGGGTATGGAAGGGAACACAAAAGAACATATTCACAAGCGCCGATGAAGCCCTAAACCGGCTGCAAGAAACCTATCCAGTTGAAGGAGAGCCCACTACCCTGAGGAGAGGACAAAGCGGTGAAAAAGCAATAAGCACACTAGGCTACATACAGTGATGTCTAAAACCAGCTTATCGTAAGTTGAGACAATATTCCCCCCCAATACAATCTCAACTCTAATAACCCCAAGTAACTGTTCTTCTCTAGGAAGTAAAGATAGAAGTAGCCGATGCTAATGGCTACATGGACACAGAAAATACAATACAAAAGAGCACATATATCAATAATTGTTTTATGGATGTGTGTGGGTAGCCGATGCCAATTGGCTACATGGACACATTGTGTGTGTGTCTGTGCATTTGAATGGGAGTGTGAAGGAGGGTGAATATGAGGGCGGGAGAGAATGGGTGGATGGAGAGGGTTGGCTTGGGAGAGTGTGAAGGAAGGATTTAACTATACTATTTTATTTATTTTCGTGACTTGCAAACCTGCTGTAAAATGAGTTCTGGACAGATTAGCAGAGGATGTCGAGTCATTATTATGCCTTGTTTGTCATTATAGCTAAGATTCAATGGTGGTTATTGGTGAGAGTGGAGAGGGGCTCTATCCGGGGGGGATGGGGTGACTGGGAGGGCATCACACACTTCTCTGAAGTATGTGTGGGGCCTCCACTCATCCCACTTCAGTCTCTCGGTGGACCCATTCTCCCCAAGTAGACCCCCACCAGCCACTATACTTTAATTTAGAGTAGAATAATAGTGAAGACATCAAAACTATGAAATAACACATGGAATCATGTCGTAAACAAAAAGTGTTAAACAAATCAAAATATATTTTATATTTGAGATTTTCAAATAGCCACCCTTTGCCTTGATGACAGCTTTGCACACTCTTGGCATTCTCTCAACCGGCTTCACCTGGAATGCTTTTCCAACAGTCTTGAAAGAGTTCCCAAATATGCTGAGCACTTGTTGGCTGCTTTTCCTTCACTCTGCGGTCCGACTCATCCCAAATCATCTCAATTGGGTTGAGGTCGGGGGATTGTGGAGGCCAGGTCATCTGATGCAGCACTCCATCACTCTCCTTCTTGGTAAAATAGCCCTTACACAGCCTGGAGGTGTGTTGGGTCATTGTCTTGTTGAAAAACAAATGATAGTATCGCTGTAGAAAGGCTTTTGTATGGCTGGTGAAATGTGCAGAACATTTAACAGCTATGCCTGCCCCATATGTAAGGCCCTCTGAGTTGTTGCTGGTGCCGCTTTACTTTCTTGACTGTGTCATGGGACCTGCGCCTACGCTTGGCACACTCCGTTGAAGCAGCATCAGCTCTCACAGCATGCCTCGCATCCTCCTCTCTGATTGCTTCCAGTGTCACCAAAGTGCTGTCAAGCCACTATACGTCCATCACATTTGATTTAGCAGTGGCTCCCTTATTGAACGTGGATCCTGCATAGTCTTCGTGGGCTTTACCACAAAGACAGTTTGTGGCAGCAGTTCAGACATTATTTGCATTGGGTTCCTCCCGTGCTGCATCTTTGAGGAGGTTTAATTAATAATAATAATAATATGCATTAGCAGACGCTTTAGCCAAAGCCGACTTCATTCATGTATGCATAATTTTTTGTGTATGGGTGGTCCCGGGGATCGAAACCCATTACCCTGGCGTTACAGCGCCGGGCTTACCAGCTGAGTAAGAGACACTGTTATCATTTGACTTCCTATGATATAGAGGTACCATTTTCTGTGCAACCTCTCTATTCAGAAATGTATGGCCTCCATGGTTTTTGTGACAGGGTGGATCTTCACCATTTTCTAGGGCTCGCTGGTACCAGCACCAAGATGTCGAGCATCTACCGTGATTAGGAATTTTGTCTGTTGACATTGAATGGACAAGACCAGCCCAGATAGCATTCTTCATGCCCTCTACATCACCCTGGTTATCAAGAATCGCACCCCTGTAATGTTTTTGCTGACTCTTACCTTTTTGTGCAGTGATTTTCCCCACACCTCTCCCCCCAAGGTGATTCTCTGAACTAAGTTTACGCTGTTCCCATCCTCTTGTGGGCATGATTGATACATTCTAGTTTCCCTATCTCAATGCCTTGTATGCAATACTGTCACCATCTGAGAGCATCTTGATGTAATGAAAGTGGTGGCGACTGACTGATCTGGACCACATGCGTTTAGCTGCTTCCTGCTCCATTGCTTTGCGCGAACCTGAGAAGTTTTGAGCACAGTCATCTGCATGTGAATCCTTCCATTCCCTGAACTCCTCCTCAGTAATTCCACTTTTCCTTTTCATCACACATGCATGGCAGTATGAAGACAACACCTCATAGTCTATGAATAGACCTGTTACAATGTCTATGCACACACCTATCCCGTAGTTGGAAGTGAATCCTCTCTTTTGCCAAGTGCCATCAAAGGATACATGAATGTCTATGATGGCATCCTCATCCTCCTTCAGCAACTCTGCTATGTCTGGGTCTATATCTGCGTATGCACTTCTAATTAGCTTTTCAGCACTCCCCATTGACTATAGCCCTCTCTGAATATCTGCAACTAAAGTGGGGGAAAAAGTACTTATTATGATGTCTGTCGACATTACAGTCATAACTGCAGGACTAAATATCAGCATGTTACCCTATAATTATTAGCATTTCAGCATGTATTTACTTTATGTAAAGCTAATTGCTCAGTAATCACAGTAGGCTACAGCCCAATGACACTGTAGGCCTATGTGACAGTCTCATTGTATAGTTATGTTTTCCTATCACTCTGTTTATTCACTTTGAATACATTTGCTGGAGCAAGGAAATAAATATTATTTATACACCGCAAGTCACCTGACAATAATGGGCAACTCTCCCATTTTATTTACCTGTCAATCTCCTGTCATGTCTCTGATATGAGCTGTGATGCAAGGAAGGAATCCCTAGGACTTTGCTTATTTTCTTTAGCGCTGCATAACCAAGTTCAAGTTCGTGGGCTAGAAGAACCATCCTCACATTTATATCAAATGCCACATCTCCCCTGGAGCACTCCTGCAGCCTGGAGGAAGTGTACACTCCCCTCCTAAATGCGTCACGATTACATTTACATTTTAGTCATTTAGCAGACGCTCTTATCCAGAGCGACTTACAGTTTGTGAGTGCATACATTTTCATACAGTGTGCACATTCTACCTCCTTTTCCTCCTCTACCTGTACTGTCACTGCCTCGATCGGCTGATCAGGCTCATTTTTTTATTTCATTCACTGCTTTTCTCGCATTGGCTAACTGAGATCGCCTATTTTTATTCACATTCTGTAGGTATATTCTTCTCATTTTGTCTCTTTACGGGGATTCTTTGCGGGAGATCTTTTCAAACAAGGAAGTGCTGCGCGGCACGTGAGGCATTTTAACCAATCAGGTTGCCGGAAAGGGCCTTTAAATGCCAGTAACCAATCGGATGTCAGGAAATTACTGATCTTTGAGCACGAAGCACTACGTCTAAAAAGGATATAGCCATGTATGGACTAGCTAAAGATATGCTCCGTAAAACAAGCTTTTGAATGATATATGATTCAACATGGAGAGTTTTAACAAAAGCGGTTGAAGTTCTACATGAAACATGCTAACAAGAACAAAATGTATGCTACGTGTAGTTGATGGAGTTGGGATAAAATTATACAAATCAAGTATTTATATACATTATTGGCGATTTATTTTATTTTATATTTTATGGAAGTTATAGTTGCAAAATATCCCAAGATCTGAAAATGGACAGATGGAAGTCACCATTTTTGCCTGTGTTGCCTGGCCTTAAACTGTATTCCTCAA